ATCGTTAAATCAATTAAAATAAAATCGATTAAATTTATTTGATTATAATAGTCATAAATAAAAAAAAAGTATAAAAACGTAATTACTTTGAAAAAAATAATAATGAAAAAAAGGTCGAAAGTCTTCTATCGTTGCAGCCCTAAATATGGAGTTAAGAGAGTTCTCAATGCATTTCTCATTACGTAGGAGACTTTTTTTAAAGGTCAAAAAAATCAAAGTCTATTCCCTATTATGAACCGTGAAATTACATTTTTGTTCTAAAAAAAAACTACCTAATTAATTATCCATTTATATTATTATTATTATTATGTTTTCTTTTAGGTCCGTTTTAAATTCATTTTATGTTTTTTCAATTCTTGGTCTATATAAATAATATGTATATGATATTAATATATGCATATGTCGTTTAATTGGAGAAAAAAAAATATACATATTTTTCAATTTTTTTTTGACTCTTATATATTCTATTTTTTTGTTTGTTTATTTTAACAAATCAAGAAAAATTCAATACTATACTACCCTTGTCATGTAATAGATATTTTGTCAGAATTTAATTAGAAATTTAAAATATCTATAATTTTTTTTAATTTTAAAATATATTGATCTTTTCTCATTTTTAAATTAAAAAAGATAATGAAATTAAAAGAATAAAATATTTTAAAGATAAAATAAAATAAGTAAAATATCAAATGGGTCAAATTTTGTTCAATTTTTTTTTTCATAATTAATAAACCCCTAACACTATGTTTGGGTCACTGTTATCCATTGTATTGTATTGTGTCGTTATTATATCTATAATATTTGTTTTGATTGTTATTTAAAATTTATTGCATTGTATTGTTAAATTTCGTTATTACGTAACAATGAAAACTCCTATTTTATGGAACAACCAATTTGGTGTGTTTCCATTATTACTTAATTTCTTTTTCCAATTATATATTTACATAATATTTCAAAATACTATTTTACCCTTTATCTTAATTATTCCCTTGTTTAAATCTAGTCAAACTTCTTACCCTAGAATAATTAAAGATATTTTAGTAAATTTATAAATTACAATACACTACGATACAATCAAACAAAACAATTAAAATATTATTAAACAACAACAAACAATGATCTAAACACTACAACAAAAATGATCATTAGCGATAATTAATTCATAATTGTCGCTAAATATGTTAATTTTTTTGGGCAATTGACACTCTTTGTATATGTCCCTAAAGACTTTAGCGACATCGGTTCTCATGATACTTAACTAAAATCGGTAAATACTATAACACTTTTTATTATTGTTAATATTTAATGCCGTTAAAAGTTATTTTTGTGATAATAAAATAAAATGTAATAGATTTACTAACTTTTAAAAGTAAGTTAAAAATCCACGAAGAAACGGAAGAAGTAAAAGGTAAGTTAAAAATCAGTTAAGACTTTGAGAGGTTATGGAACAAATCCACAAGTTTTGGTAAGAGTCAATTAATATTTTACATAATATATTTGAAAAGAGAAAAACTAAAGAATTAATCTTTATTAATAAAGTGAAAAAGACGTTTAAGTGATTTTTTTTTAATGAATAAAAGTAAATAAAATGTGAAACAAGTGGAAGCCAATTAGACATTTTGTCAATGTCCAAGTCAATTTTGAAGTTGAAAAAACTAATTAGCAATCATATACTATGTATAGTAAAGCTACTTATTAATCTGGCATTAATCCATTGTCTAACTAAAATGTACTTTAATTTAACTACTAACCGCACATAGTTAAAAGACTTAATTTGTACTTATCATAATTAATTTCTTTTTCTAATTACTTCCTCCGTCCACAATTGTTTGTCAGGTATACTAAAAATAGATGTTCAAGGTTAATTGTCAATTTAAATAATTAAGAAACAATTAGTCATTTTTTTTCCAAATTTGCCCTTAAAGATAATGTAGTTCTATCGGAAAGTTAAGTAGACTTTTAATATTTTTAATAAGGTTATATTAGTCAAATTACACATTGTATTAAATTTTTCTTGAGGGGTGTGCATGACCTTAAAATGACAAACAATTATAGACGGAAGGAGTAATAACTTTTGATACGATCTTTACGTCCATTGCATCTGACCTCAATTAATTTTCTCATTTTGTTAATTTTTTCCCCTATTACTGCATTAACGTAGAAATCAAGTTAATCCATATGACTATGAAATTCATGAATGTGTTTTTTTTCCCTCACGTTTTTTTTGAAATAAAAAAGCATTTTGCTATTTGATGAAAATACGACTAATTAAGTACTATTGTACTCTTAATCTGTATTTAGCCTTTTTCTATTGTCCAATAATATAACTCATTTGTCCATGCTATGGATTTGGAAATCTATCTTCTTCTTTTTTTCATTTTTATAATATTTTTCGTTAACCTCATTTAAATTTTATTTCATGTTTTTTTTTTTAGAGAAGTGCATTCAAATAATCAAATATTATTACCAAAACCATAACCAATTTGATTTTCAACTCTAGCTTTGAAAAAATCAAATGATGTTCGAAATATTGTAATGTTATGTAGTAATTCATATATGAGATCTAATTTATGACATTAAAGATTAACTATATTGAAATTAATTTTTTATATTAAATATATATAACATGCATTCCATAATCTTTTTAAGAAAAATTATTTGTTTATGAAACCCCAACAGAACCCAACCAATAATAGAAAAAGGGTTTGGGGGACTTAAGGATGATCTTAATTTCAGCACTATTATTCTATTATCTAATACTAATTTATTTCTATAATAATTACTATTTTCTTCTTTCTTAATTATTTGTCTATTTTTTTAGTTGTTTTTAATTATTTGTTTGTTTTTTTCTTTTTAATTATGCCTAATTACTTGTCCATTTTACTCATTATACTTTTTATTAATTGTTTTGAAAAAAATATAACGTCTTGATAATGTTAAAAATTTATTCACCCACTTCATAATTAATAGGGATAAAAAGATAAACTTATTATGTCAATAATTGTTTTCTTAATAGGTGTGTCATTTTAAAAGTAAACAAGTAGTTACAACTTGTTGAAAATCTTAAATTTGAATTCAACCACTTTATACTTAATAGGAATAAAATAATAAACTCAATATATCAATCATTATTTTTTTATTTATCAATTCAAAAGTGGAGATATAATTAAAAACCGAGGGAGTAATTATAAAACTTTATTACAAAATTAATAACTAAAAGTAACTACTATTTTGAAGCTATCTTAGAAAAGTCTTATAGTATGAATTGTATTGACAATTTTATAGGGTTCTTTTTTTTTTCTTCCCCTTATCATTCTCAAGTGTAGATTCAACTCTTGCTCATAGTCTATCATGCCGTCCATGTATTATGAATTTTCTCTATCTAGTCTGGAAAATTAAATGTTTATGAAAAAAATATTAATTTCTCCTTATAAAGTCTAGATTTTCTTAATCGACGTGACATTTTGAATTTAAATACAATTACATACAGATTAATTAATTGATAGTCAAAAAGAAATAACTAATTCCTCTTAAACTTTCAAACTTAAATCAAGAAAAATTTAATCAATCTCTCTCCTTAGTTAGAATTAAGTTTTGTCAAGCACGTTTTAACAATATCGATAATTTATCAAATTATATAAGATTAAAATAATCTCATTCACACGGTTTGTACCATCTTTTAAGTTCACTCATAACAATTATTATTATTATTATTTTATAGTAAGTGTGCTATAATAATCTTAAAATAAAAGGAATAATCTGTGATAACAAATACGAAAATTATTTGTATATAACTCAAATTCACGTGAAATACACTTGCAGAACGCGTATTGTACATCACAATTAATATGAATTAGTATTCCTGTTTTTCGATGTAATTTTTATTTTTTTTAAATTGGTAAGTCATAAAGTTCAGACCTTGCCGGGGAATTAAATAATATTAGAGATAACGTGGAAAATATTATTGGAAACGTGATTGGAAAGAAATCACGTTACCCCACTTATAAAGAAAATAATAAATAAATCAACAGTACAACTCTATCATATTTTATTTTTATTAATTTATATACAGGTATGTCGGCTGACGTGACAAAAATTAGATAAGAAAATTGAACCAAAACCAAAATTCTATTTATTTATTTATGAAGACTATTATCTCATCCTCCATCCCCTGCCCATACCATATGAATTTAAGTCATTTCATATTATACACAACAAATTAACGTTCTTTTCTAAATTATTGTGATATTCAGGTTAATTTTCATTTAATATGATTACAAATAGCTAATAATAGAAATCTGGAGAGTCAAATGCTATGTATAAATCAGTCATATGGGTAACCCTATTTCACTATCCGTCAATCTGAGTTATCAAAAATGACTGAACCGGCCATCTAGACGAGACTCTCGCTGTAAAATATTATTTTTTCGACAATTTTTTTTTCTACCAAGCTTTGATAAATCGCCAACTCGCTCATTTTGTGATAGGGCTCAGTCATCCCCTAACTTAAGCGTATGGTCTAGTGATCAATAATATGAATCGAGCATCTTGAGGTTAGGTGTTCCATAAAACTAATCAAGATATGTCGAATTCAACTCAAATATTATAATTATAAAAAAAAATGAACGAGTTAACACAACACATAATATTAATACTGAAAAACGAAAAAAAAATGCTTCTACCTATTTATTAATAATTATTTTAATTCTCTATCAAGGGTCACGTACTCGGTAAGGATAATAAAAGAATTAATTTCATGTGTTTTGTCTTATACAATGTGTTTCTTTCTAGTTTCGTTGGCGCTGGCTTGACTTTGACTAGTAAGCAAGAAATTCAAACCAACAAGATATGGGCCGACAAGAAAAGCAAACTCACTCAATTAATTACTACTTTTTAATTAAAGTATTTTTCTGAATGTACCAATTTAACATCCCATCATCACGTTTTTTCACAACTATAAATAAGCTGTGAAAAATAGGCAAAGAGCTTCAGCTTCCAAACTTCAATTCCCCCCCAATTTTCCAATTCTCTATAACAAAAATTTTAATCAATTTTGAAGAACAAAAATCAAAGCAAAATGGAGTTCACAAGTTTAGTTGATACTTCTCTGGATTTGAACTTTAGACCTCTTCGAGTTTCCGATGAATTACCAGTATGTGGAAAGCGATATAATTTTTTTTTTGTTCTCAATATAATTATTTTGATGTGATGATTTGATTTTTCGTTGCAGAAACAGGAAGTTGAGAGTAATTTCATAGGACTTGGAAGAGATCTGGTACCTGTAAAAGATGAGGTTGGTAAAATCTTCATCTTCTCCGATTTGTGTTCGTTGATAACAATGTCAGATCCAGAATTTGAAGTTTATACGATTGTATTGTGTTGTTTTGTGCAGGCAAGTAATTTAATAGAGGAACTAAATAGAGTAAATGCTGAAAATAAGAAATTGACGGAGATGTTAACAGTTATGTGCCAGAATTACAATTCATTGAGGAACCAATTGACGGAATATATGAGCAAGCAGAATAGTAGTACTAGTGGAGCTGATCAGGATCAGAACAGCGATGGATCGAAGAAAATTAAAATTGAAAACAACAACAATAATAATAATAATAATGAAATTGTGAAATCGTCAGTTCAAGTGTTGAATTCAGAGAGCAGCTCAAGTGATGAAGATTCATCTACAAAGAAACCAAGAGAAGAACACATTAAAACTAAGACTTCAAGAGTTTATATGAGAACTGAACCATCTGATACTTCTCTTGTAAGTTACCCAAATACTCTCCTCCGTTTCAATTTATTCATCTTACTTTTTCTTTTTTAATTTTATAGCTCGTTCGAAAAACATCTCTTCCCCTTTTGTGATCAATTATAACTTTCTACATACACGTATTTAATACCATAAGATTAAATCACTTTTTAGTGCATTTTACAACTTTTTTTTAAATCAAAAATAAAACAGACAAATTAAAAGGGAATTTTTTTTTCATCACGAGATATATATAAATCATATATGTAACGGTAAGAGTATGTATGTGTAATTTTTATAACGAGGATATGTTAATGTTGTTGCAGATAGTGAAAGATGGATACCAGTGGAGGAAATATGGACAGAAAGTAACAAGAGACAATCCATCTCCAAGAGCTTATTTCAAATGCTCTTTTGCTCCTACCTGTCCCGTTAAGAAAAAGGTACTACTAATTCGTACAACTTTTAGAGCATAATGAACAGTTTTTACGCTTCCATAGTGTAACGAGACGGTGTAATTTTAGAGCCTAATAAACAATTTTACGCTCTCATAGTGTAACAGACGGTGTATACTAAAAAGTATGAAATATCCCAAGTCATTTTCGATTAGGAAACAACTCAACAAGTAGAAGTAATTTAATAATTAGGTAACCCAACTTTCGTTGAAGTTACTTAGTTCTAGTAGTTGCAGCTTCCAGATATTTTATGTATTTGGTGGCCAGAATTCACAGCCACATTTTTATTAGATTAAACTGAACTTAATTATTATTTTCAACTTGAACTAGTTGTAGAGTACTATTATCCCCTTTACTAGCAAGGGTTAAAACTGAAAAAATAGATAAAATTTCACTTATTTTGAATTCAATACATGTTCTAGATCGCGAATTTGTCTTTTTTTTCCCCACAGTTATATGCATTTTCTAACAATGAACTACGTGATATTTTTGTCAGGTTCAAAGAAGCGTGGAAGACCAATCGATTCTAGTAGCAACCTATGAAGGAGAACACAACCATTCTAAAGTGGATACCGCAGGCCCTGTTACAACAACTTCCCCGTCTAGCCGATTTAACCCGAAAAATAATACTTATGCTGCTGCGGTAATGCCAAGACAAACCTTAACTCTTGATTTGGCAGAACCAAAAACATTACAAAATGATATCAAAAAAGTTCATAGCATTACAAGTACAAGTAGTGCAAGTGGTCAGAAGCGTAAATCACCAGGAACTGATCAACAACAGCAAAATAGACCAGAGTTTCAACATTTCTTGATAGAACAAATGGCTTCATCATTGACTAAAGATCCAAGTTTTCAAGCAGCCTTAGCAGCCGCCATATCAGGAAAATTCTTGCAAAATAATAGTAACACTAAGGATAAATAATTAAAACGAAAATTATGTTGACACATTGAAATGTTCCAGAGAAAGACAGGCAGCCACTAGGACATGTCGTTATAAATTGTATATATTGTTTACTATATTTGTCTTCTTTTTTTTTGGGAGAACAGTAGCCAGTAGGTAGGACTAGTAAGTGCACGTGAAAATGGGATGGGCTAATTTTCTATAGCAGCCTATATTAGTTAGGTCTCAGTTTGCTCCTTTTCAGTCTCACAAGATTGAGACTTTTGGTGGCCCTTGAAATTAAAGTGTTGGATTTGCTCAAATAAATATTTTTATAATTTGATTTATAGACCTTTCCGTTTGTGTATACAAATGAAGTCTATTTTAACTGTTGAAATGAACAAAAATGGATAATATCATATCATGTTAAAAATATTTTAAAACTGTTTTAACACGACAAGCTTGTTTACTACTGTGTTTTTTCTTATTGGTTTCGACTCTAATCGACTAGAGTTAAAAAATGGAGGCCACGTTGAAGTCAATAGAAGAAAAGAGCACACGTGAGACTGAATTTTTGGTTCATTGAAGAAGGGAGAATTTACTTGACCCGGATTATAGAAGAATAAATTTCTTGAGCTAAGCATTAAAATAATTAAGGGGCATTTTGAGACTATAAATTGAAATAGATATTGGTTTCTAAATGTTAACATCATCCAGTTGATGTCATTGTTTCAGTACTCCTTTTTATATCCCACTGAAAAGACTTGGACGTAATTTTTTCTAGCGGTGGAATAAAAAAGTAATACAACATGTTTAGTACAATTTCACAGATACATTTTTAAAATGGAGTGTATATAAAAGGTTACTTAGAAAATAGGAGTAGTTTGTAGTGACAAAATAAGCTAGAGACCACACGTAACATAAAGTATTAGTCAATGACAATTCCCTAAGCTAATCTTCAACTTAATTTCTTACCCTTAAAACCTATTCCACCTTGTCCATTTGGCCTAATCATCTAATGATTGTCGTATTCGGGTCAACTTTCACGTACCTCAACTAATTCCACTTGATACCTGTCATCTCCTACCAACAGTAGATACCAAGTAACTCTATACATCAAGACTAGATAGACGGGGAAAATCCTCGAGTGTTTTTTTGTCTCCGTTGAATTTGAACATGAGACCTCAAGGTTCTCAACCAATTTATTTACGACAAGGTTGTACCTTGAGTGCTAAACTTTTATCTTTTTCCTCCCCGTCCCATCGCAATCCCTAATAGATATAGCTAGATCAGATGTACACAGCAATGGTAAAATAATAATAAGCAAGGTCATTTGTACACAAGCACTTGCCGCCCTTTCAACTGTATCGCAACCAAGGGCGCAAAGCTACCAAATCTACTAGGAGTATAAATTACATTGAACTACTACTCTGAACACATTTCACTATGTCGATAAATTGAAGTCGTCAATAGCTCTTATAAGACCCATCTCAGTTTCATCCTTGAGTTGTAGTTGCTTCACTTCTGTCTTGGCTGCAAGGCCATCATCTTTATCCGTTCCATCGGTTGCAGCTACACAATCATGAAATCTGAAGCAACTGATGAGATGGTCGTTTGTGATACCAGCTACTTGCATGAATGAGTACACAACAGTAGGTCCAACTCCTCTGAATCCTCTTTTAACTAGGTCTTTACTTATCCCTTCAGCTTTCGATGTCTTCATTGGCACCTGCCTTGCATATCGGAATTGACTAACTATAGGTTTGTTATTCACAAAACCCCATATGTATTTGTCGAAGGATCCAAGTTCATCGATGATCTGAGAGGATAACAAGAGCATGACATCAAAAATGGTTCTCAAGTAACAACCCTAAAATTGCTACTCACTGACAGTTACTATTAAGAAGCCAGTTCAGGACTTCTGTTTGACACTATTAAGAAGCCAATCATGGCTTTCTCTTTGATGACAACCTAATTTTTTTTTCATATTTTAATTAAGAAAAAGAAAAAGATTTAATACTATAATGTAGTTTCTGAATATGTAGATTCTATTTCAAAAGGTGTAAAAAACTCCTACCCAAAATTTACAAAAAATTATTAGATATTTTGACCCCCATAATTGCGGGTATATACACTTTCTAAATTTGAAATGAGGTGTATACTAATAAAAATCTTGTTTATCTAGAAGCTCTTTTTTACATTTAATATGCCTACTCTCTAGAATGACATACCTATTAAAGCCACAAGTATTTCATAAGCACATCATATCTATAGACTGTAGTTTCTGACTTTTGAAAAAAATCTCATATGCAGCTGCCGAGTATTTAGAAAATTTTGCACCCAGTACAGAAATCATCAGTTTCCAGGGCAACATATTTAACAACAGCAAGACTTTCAGCTCAAGACAGCTGATACATTAAATGCCGACCGATTAAACCGAAAACTTTTGAGCTTGAAATAATCTGTGGTTAAGAAGCAATTTCCCGTTGCAATCTTCTTTCATTACCTAAAAAAGGTCCAAGAGCCTTTTTTTACTTTATGTAAGGTAGACAGTTATTTTGGTGGAATATTTAAGAACCGACATTTTGACTGTGAAAATCTGAAGAAGGTTCAAGAGCCAAGAACTAAGAAAGCTTCAAAAATTTTATCCTAACCAATACAATATAATTTCTCCTAGCTGTACAAGAAGAATTTTCTTCTTTAAGACGAGGACAACTCAACAAGACATAAAACTTTCACGTACCTTACACGTTTGGCGTGCATTTTCAATAACTGCCCGTAGCTTTACCTCTGATAAAAGAGTGCTGGCAGGACTTCCTGGTGGTGCTATCTTCTTCTCATTTAGTTTTGAGACTGCAACTGGGTCAAAATTTTGAAAGACTTCTCTGCATAACAAATAGTTCAAATTGAAGCAGCAGCTTTTGAAAGGCAACCAGATATGAAATGATAACCCATTGTTTGGTACTCCAAAACACTGGTGCAGAGCGTAATGTACCTAAACATATGTCTTTTACTGAGAATTGCCGGCCATGAGAGTTCAGCTAATGCAGTGCATAAACTGAGAAGTTCAAAGAGCTTCCTGCAAATAGAAGTAACCAGACTGAGAAAATCATCACATTTAATTGCCTAAAGCCGCAAAATAATGAGAAAATATAAAGTAGGAATTACGCACTTGTCATCGTGGACTGAAACTCCCCATTCCTCGTCATGAAAAGCAGCATAGGATGGATCTTTTGGCAAAACAAAACCAATTAGCAGGAGGAACTGATAAGAACATATTATCTACAGCATTACAATAATATATCCTGCAAAAGGGATGACCATGGACCAATATGATGGAAAATGCAAAAACTGGATGAATAAAAGAATCTATTACAAACAATGGATAAACCCCCGGTAGCAGACTTACTAGGACTTGCTAAATGAGTCTTCTGTACCTTTTCCCGCTTAGTTCGAACTATGGTTTCCCCAAAAGTAGAGATTCTATTAATCTCACACTTACCCATACAAGGACACATACTACCAGAATAGGACTCCTGACAAACAATAAACCTATATGAATCCGTTTGTGCTTAGAATCAATTACACACATGGAAAAATCACCATGATCACCTTGTTGGAAGATGTACAACTTGTTTCATGATGTAGGACTAGAAACTGGAGTTCGAGAGCTAGATTACAGGACATTATACATGTTAGACAAGAATAGAGTTGTGGACACACATTTAGTTATCCTCTATATAAGGATTCCTTTTTTTCTTTTTCAATGATAGTGTCTAGGCCAACTTGCGCACATCTCCGACTATTCCACCGGGTACCTACTTCCTTCCACCAGGACATTATTGGATAGCACTGTCCACAAGGCTTAGACAGAAGTCAACTAGTGATTTCCATGGGAATTCGAACCTGAAACTCATGATTCTCCCACCACTTCAACAGAAGTCCCTTGGGGGTGCTTATGTAAGTGTTCTAGTATTAGGAATGATGCTTAACACGGTAACACTTTGACCTTTCTTGATTATAATCATTAGCTTTCCTGCCCAAAAGGAAATAAGATGATTCTATAATGATTCTTCCCCTTAACAGAATACAATTAATAGCGGATTTAATTTCCCTTCCCTGATCCTAACATAGTTTTTCTACCCCTTGTATCCTCTTGATGATCGAAGGAAAGCTTACCTTACTTGATCAAAAGAGAACCCCTAATAACAAGGTTTAGAAACAACGTGTTCATCTCATAACAAGTCCTAGACTCAAAAACCACGGGAGAAGTGGCAAATTCTCATTCTTAACATAGGGGCCAGAAAGTAGGTAAGAATGCCACAAACACTGATATAGAGAGTGCATCTCCAATAATGGCTCCATAATACTTGGAAATAGTTATGTATTAGAGCGGCAAGTTGTTTGGACTCTCCAAAAAATATTGTCGCACCTGTGTTAGATCCTCCAAAAATGCACTACTTTTGAAGGATCCGACATGCACCCCATGACATTTCTGAAAAGTCTGAGCAACATGAGCAGGACAGACTGGAATTTCTAAAAGGCCATGCATAATCAATAACCTTAATCTCCAAATGTCAAGCATATGATTCCATCACTCCACTGACCATGTTTTAACAAAACAGAAGATAAAGAGGAATAAAAAATAAGCGAAGGGAAACGAACGTTAAATGGGTGCAGGTTATGTGTTTCAATAGAAGGTTGCGAATATAAAAATTATGCAACCATCTCTACAAATATTTATCATAAAAACACAATACACATACTAATAAGGTTAAATAAGAGAAATAAATAACACATTAGTGTAGATTCATTTCATCGCATCTATTATCTTCTTTGAAAACACATTAGTGTAGATTCATTTCATCACATCTATTATCTTCTTTGAAATAACACATTAGTGTAGATTCATTTCATCACATCTATTATCTTCTTTGATCTTGACCCATTTCATTTAATTACTCAATAAATTGAGATTCTTTAACATCAAAAGTTCTTTCTTTTCGTGCTCATATATAATTCTAAACAGACTCAAATGCCTCAAAGAAAATATTGGACTTAAAAAGCATATTCAGTACTATAATGATTCATGTAGACGGATCTTCAACCTATTACATCCCTTTTTCTTTATTTGGGTCTGAGACATAAAATATGTGCAAAGTCCATAAAAGAAGAATATGAGATCTAAAACCAAATGGTCAAAGTGCTTAACGTGCATGGATCAATAATGCGTTTCCCAGGGTTTACACTTTCCCCGAATACATCACAGGAAAGGTGAATTCTCCTCAAACATTTCCATAGAACCTCACAAAACCAGCAATGTGTTCATACCTGTCCTCCAGCCAG